TCATCTCTCCCTGGAGAGCAGCTTGTCCCCACTCCATCCCTTCCCTGCCAGAGCTTCAGTGGTTGCCTGTTCTGGTCTTTCCCACTGACCCCCTTATTTGAAATCACAATATGTTACGACTCCTTTGTATTTGCTAGAGGAGTAAAAGGGGTATCAGAGAGAAGCCTGTATAATTTGTTTCTGTGTGTGTTGAGAAAATGACAATACTCCCTGGAGAGCAGCTTGTCCCCACTCCATCCCTTCCCTGCCAGAGCTTCAGTGGTTGCCTGTTCTGGTCTTTCCCACTGACCCCCTTATTTGAAATCACAATATGTTACGACTCCTTTGTATTTGCTAGAGGAGTAAAAGGGGTATCAGAGAGAAGCCTGTATAATTTGTTTCTGTGTGTGTTGAGAAAATGACAATACCTGTCTTTGACTGATAACATTGTGCATGGAGAGAAAGAACAAAGTAACGAGATACAATTGCCTGCATAAACACTCATTGCTACAGCTGCATCTGTTACAACCCAGGCTTCACAAACTTTGAGTTGAGGTAGCTAAAACATTGTGTTTTAGAACTGTCATCTCATTTTCAAACACCTCACAACCCCCTGATGCCTTTGACCACTCTCCCAGCCAGCAGTGCTGACTCACCAGTTCAGTCTAGTCTGGTCTATTGGTAGATTGCAGAGTTGATAGCCTGGGCTGTAATCCCAACTCTATCACTGTTTTGCTGTACAACTACAATTATGTCACTTAATCTCTTGCCTAGGGTTTTCTATTTGTAAAATGGGGATAAGTATATTTACCTGCTTTACAGAGATGTTGTGTAGAGTAATTAATAAAAGTATGTTGCTTTGAAAATATAATGTGAACAATACTATACTAAATCTACTGAATTAGGTATTCTTAATAGGTAGTTGTGTAAGGACTAGCATCCTAAACTGAAGCGTAAGAGGACATTATTTCATTTTAGTATTATTTCTTATGGTTTAAATACAATGTGCGTGGAAATGTAAATGACAAAATGAAGACCAGTTCAGCACTGAAAGTACTTAATCCAGAGAATAACTATGATGTTAGTAAACACTTGAGCCGGGGGTAGGTAACCTTTTTGGGGTCTGAGGCTGCTGACCACAATAAAAACCAGTTGGGGGCTGCCCACAACTGAGAAACAAAACAAAACAAAAAAATCCTCAGTGACTTTGCCCCTAACTGAGGATGAGAAAGACACTCCCCACATTCCCTTTACACACGAGAGACTAGGTGAGCCCAGGCTAGTAGATTGTGTGGTCCAGCCCCATAGGAGATAGTGGGGGGGGCGGGGGCTGACGTGTCAACATGGGCTCCCCAATGCTGGGGGGAGCTCTAAGCCTCAGGGGCCAGATCCAGGCAAGCCAGGGGCTGTATCTGGCCCCCAGGCCTTAGGTTCCCACCCCTGACTTATGCAATAGTCCTATCAATTTCAACAGACTACTTTGATGAGAAAGGTTCCAGACAACCAGACTTGGAAAAATACTATAAACACCTTCAAGATAGGAAGCATTGGGAGACCTAGAAAAAGGAGTACATTTAGGAAGTGAGGGTATTTGTTTGTCTTTAAAACAAGAAAGGCAAGATCCTCACCAGGGCTGTGTCTACACTGTACCGTAATTCAGAATAAGATACGCAATTTGAACTATGCAAATTGTGTATCTTATTTTGATGCTATTTTGAAATAGCTTATTACATCATTTGGCACTGTCTACACAGAGCCAAATTCCAAAATAAAGTGCTATTCCAAAACATCCCTTACTCCTCGTAGAATGTGGTTTTCAGGGACATCAGAAAAGTGAGCCCAAAATAATGGGCTTGCTGTGAAGACGTGGAATAGCTATTTGGGATATTCTGATACCCTGAAATAGCACTGCAGAGTATACGTAGCCCAGCTGTAAATTAATGTAGCTCTTGATTCTAGGCAGTTATGCTGAGGATCAACCCCACATATCATTTTGGTCCACAGTTAAACTTCTGTAGACAAAGCATTGTTTTGTTGCATAGTGATAAAAACCAATTACCACAACTCCAGAGTATATTCATGCAGTTTTTGCTTTTTTCCATTTTGTTAAAGCTAGGGACATATTATGCATTTGTAATGCTTGTTCACAAATGTCCCATTACTGGAGTGTGCCCAATGCTCCTTTATATTTTGTGTAGTCTTTTACATCTATGCAGAATAGATGTAAGAGAGGAGAGCTAGATTTATGGCATGGTAGGATTTTTTGATACACCTACTTTTCACAGATATAAATGTCTACACAACAAAGAACCAAGTGAAAATATGCCCTTGCTGTCAATTTTGGTGGAGAATGCAAATCATGACAGTGTCAAGGGAATGGTTCAACCAGAAAACACTTGTTTATAGCCTGCAGCACTACTCTTACATTCAGATGCTATGATTAAGGGGGGTACATAAGTGCATACATAAATAGATTCTAACTACCAGCATAGATCAGTATCATGAGCTTAATTTAATATTAGTCAGTTTCCTTTTCACATATTAAAAAATTGACAGGTTGCCCTATAAGATAGTAGGATATGCATCAGTTGTATTAAAATACATCAGCATGCCTCAGTGTTTCAGCTAATTTTTCAGCATATGCAGTAACGTGAATTGAAGTGCTGTATTCGAGAGAAAGAGTAAGCTTATGATTTGCAAACTCTGCAGGCTTTGGTATTTGAAAAATCAGACTCTGTTTTTTCATCCTTGGCTATCATTACTTACGAACCATCATCAGTGATGTAGATCCTGGAATCAGAACAGATTATTTTATTGATGATTCATGAGGCAGGATAAAACATAGCTTACATTTCTGCAGCCCCATAGTTGCAGTAACTGGCTCAAAAGTGCTGACAGTAATAAACATTTGCTTTTGTCAGTAAACTAAATGGATATGACTCAGAAGGCACTTAGGGTCTGTACTGTACTACAGTCTGCACCGACAAACTCCCGCTGGCATCAACAGTACTTCAGCATGCCAATTGGGGTTCAGATTCACAGCTGGCATAAATCAGCATAGCTCCAATCAGCTGCATCAATTTACACCAGCTGAGGATTTAGGTCTAAAAGTAGTATGTGGCCTGCAAAAAGCAGATACACGTTTAAAAAAAACACTTTTCTGATTACATTTACATATTTCAAATTTAAAACTATCTAATGGCCTGCAAACAATGATCATGAGTTAAACACGCTCTTTGTTACAGACACATCCAGATGGGCAATGTGGATATAATATAAAAATTGAAATGAATGCTATTTATTTCCATTTGCCTAATTAATTTTATGATATTTTAATGGGTGTTTATTTTAATTATAGAACATAACATATTATTATATGTCAGACTCTGGGTCAAATTACTTGTAAGTTTTTCATTCTCCTTCACAGAAAAAAACTTAGAACTAATTAGTATACTTCAAGAAAGAGTTGAAAATTAAGTAAATATAATAACTTAAGATAGAACAGAATGTATGATGTTAAAACTAGTGAAGGAATTTGTGCATGGATTTCACCAGTTAAAACTTGCCCTTGAGTATGTGTTTCTGTATCTTGTAATTTGAATATGTTCCCTATACTTTTAGTATATCGTATCTGAAAGCTGATGTCTACGTACAAAAGTAGGTCATATAAAAATAAGGGATATTTGTGATTACCATACATTTAAGAATATGTCTGTTGGTATTAGGGTTGCCAGATGGTTTCAACAAAAATACCGGACACACTTGAAATTACATCACAATCTATATTACATCTTATTTAGAAAATACCGGACATTTTCTCATTTATATTTTCTCATTTATATTTTCTCAATTTGTTTCCCAAACAAAAAGCTCAAATACTGGACTGTCCAGTTCAAAACTGGACACCTGGCATCCCTAGTTGGTATTATTTTGTCACTTTTACTCCTTATCATATTGATCTCTTCCAAAGCGTGACTGAAAAGAAATATGGTCAGGTGCTAACATTAATGTATAGCAATCCAGAAAATATTTTCTATTTTCATCATTTTCGAGAAGGTGATGAATTTAAAAACTGAATTACCCACTTGTCTCATAGGTTGGATGTTGGAATAAACTGTACGGTTAGGAAAGCAAGTTTGTAAAAATACTGGCCTAAGTAACAATGGTCCCTTTCTGTTCCGTACCTTTTTAAATGCGTTAAGCCTGTCTCAAACTGTTCAACATAATTTTTTACATTGCCTTTCCATCTGTTAACCTGTTTCTTGTGTTTATGGCTTCTAAATACACCAACCAACACCAGTATGTTGGTCCTTTCATGATCTTGACCTTTAGCAACTCATTACTTTAAAGAAAACCTTACTGCAGAAAAGATGAAGAATTTCATCTTATATATGCATGGTATTTTTAATTAATATTCACATTTCATAGATTCTTGCTCAGTCAAGTGTGTATCTACCTTTTTTTTCTTTTTGGTCAGATGATGAATGTAATATAGTTACTGGTGCTAATCCAGTTTCAAGTGTTGATGAAAGACTTTGAAATTATCCTGAATATGAATGCCAAAGCCTTAAGTCTTTTGATGTTTTATCAGTGATGAAAAGATCTCTAAAACAGAACATAGCAATCCAGCAAAAATAAACTCTGCTATGATGTAGATGATAGGTTTGATCATATAATGGTTATAAGTAAACAGCATGGTTCTCCACATCTTGCATCTGTATTTCTTTCTCCCATGGCTTGTATGCAGGGCAACTGGTGTGTAGCTGGGAACCTTATCAAGAACAGGAGGAAATCAAGACAAAGAGAAGAAAAAGACCAAACCGACAAACAGCAAACTACTAAGAGAAAGTCAGACATCGATCCATGGACTTGAAACTAATCTGTTGCATTAGAGAGAGAAAAGGCTATTGTGATAAGACAGATGAATGGAGTAACTAAATTCCCTGAAGCAACCACCAGTTCTAATGCAGCAGATACTAGTAGTCTAAAAAGAGGGGTGGTTATCATCATATCCTGTCATTCCATGAAGAAGGGAAAGAAGAATTTAGAACTAACCAGATATGAGAAGTTGCTTTTTTGCCTTCAAAACATTCACTGTGTCTGTTTGCAGGCAGCCAAAATAGGCAATGCACAAATGAAAAGGGAGTGAAGGGAGGAAGGACTGAGAAGATTATAGTATTATACCTTAGGGTCTAGTCTTGCAGGCTGCTGGACATAGTTAGACCCCAAAGACTGCACAAAGCCCCTTTAAAAGTCAATGAGTCTCTATCCAGGCACGGGGGTCCACTTGCCTATTGCTACTTACAAACCCATGCTGTAAGAAATCAAGGGATGTAAGTTAGAGTTCAGCGGTCACTTATCTTTAGATATGTTCCTTCTACCCTGGGAATGAGTATTGATAAAATGTATACTTTGAAGTGCTGCATCACATATTTCCACTGTTCTTAAAATAATTTCATGAAAGGCCACATTGTATCTTGGGTTCATTACTTTGTTTCTATTTACTGCCATATGAGAGAACTAATCTGAGATGTTACCTCAGTGTAAGTCACTCAGCAAATAATGACAAACTGTGCTCATGAATATTTGTTCACATTTTTGGTTAATTTGCTTTGGCCATGTTGAGATTGCTTTTGTGTTCACTTTCTGAGATTATTTGAGTGACTTTTTTACTGGCACAAATGGTCACAGGATCTGACACCTTATTTCTACCTGCCACATTCCCTATACCAAATTCCAAAAAGATGTAACAATGAAGCCAACAGGTAATTAATGATCTCGAGAAAGTGGTAAACAATGAGGTGGTAAAATTTTCAGATGATACCAAACTGCTCAAGATAGTTAAGACCAAAGCAGACTGTGAAGAGCTTCAAAAAGATCTCACCACACTAAGTGATTGGGCAACAAAATGGCAAATGAAATTTAATGCTGATAAATGTAAAGTAATGTACATTGGAAAAAAATAATCTCAGCTACACATACAACATGATGGGAACTAATTTCGCTACAGCTACTCAAGAGAGAGATCTTAGACTCATTGTGGATAGTTCTCTGAAAACATCTACTCAGTGTGCAGCGACAGTCAAAAAGCAAATAGAATGTTAGGAATCATTAAAAAGGAAATAGCGAATAAGACAGAACATATCTTATTGCCTCAATAAAAAACCATGGTATGCCCACGTCTTGAATACTGCATGCAGATGTGGTCGCCTCATCTCAAAAAAGATATTGGCATTGGAAAAGGTTCAGAAAAGGGTAACAAGAATGATTAGGGGTTTGGAAAGGGTTCCGTATGAAGAGAGATTAAAAAGACTTGGAATTTTATCTTAGAAAAATGAAGACTAAAGGGAGATATGACTAAAGAGGTCTGTCAAATCATAACTGGTGTGGAAAAAGTGAATAAGGAAAAGTCATTTACTTATTTCCACAATATTAGAACTAGGGTTCACCAAATGAAATTAACAGGCAGAAGGTTAAAAACAAACAAAAGGAAGTTTTTCTTCACTCAGTGCACAGTCAATCTGTGGAACTCCATGCCAGATGATGCGGTGAAGGCTAGAACTTTAACAGGGGTCAAACAAGAGCTAGATAGATTCATGGAAGTTAAGTCCATCAATGGCTATTAGTCCGGATGAGTAGAAATCTACCCAGTATAGCCATTCTTATGTTTTTATGTTCACTTGGGGATTCCCATCGGGAGACACTACTTTTATGATGTATGACAACTATCTGTGACCCGCTAACAATGATTCCTCTCAGCTGCTTCTCCCCTCCCTATGATGAGGGCTATTAATGAGTCACTTCACCTTGAATGGTCATTTGAAATGTGTGTGAACTGTTTATGCTAAACAATATATTCCACTTTTTATTTAGTAGTGACACAATGAGGGCTTGTCTACCCTACTGCGGTATATTGACCTAATGTAAATAATATAACTGAAGTAGACGTTAGAGCCATTTACCACAATGGATACTCTATGCTGTGTTGACAGAAGAGCATTTCCCATCAACTTCCCATACTTTTCTCGGAGAGGAGGAGTACACAAATCAATGGGAGAACATGATTTACTGAGTCTCGTGAAAAGCAACACTCACTATATTAATTGCAGCAGTGCTGCTCTACTGGCAAGTGTAGACATACCTTGAGTTAGTTTCTTCAACCTGAGAAAGAGTTCTGTGTAAGCCTGAAAGCTTTTCTGTCTCACCAAACAGAAGTCAGCCTAATAAAAGATATAACATCACTCATCTGGTCTTTCCAATATCCTGTGATCAACATAGCTACAACAACAAACAGGAAAAAACACTGCATCCAGCAAGTAAAAGTTTTCTGTACAGGCAGTCCCCGACTTACAAACGGGGCTTTCTCGCCCAGGAGGTCGAGGTGGCGGATTGCTGCCTGCGAACTCCGGGGAGAGAAAGCCCCGTTCGTAAGCTGCTCCCGGTGCCCCTGGTCTGCTGGAGACCGTCTCCAGCAGACCAGGGGCACCGGGACTGAAGCCGCAGCAGCGGTGGGTTCACACGCTTCTGAGGCTTTCTGCTGCAGACCAGGGGGCCCGGGAGCCGCG